ATTATTGCTACGTAGGCCCAATGAGCCATTCGTGGTTTGAGACCCCAGTTCCTTCCTAGGAGCCTGCGGCAGATCTGGTTTGCCATGATGGCCTTTTTCCTCACCTTGTCTAAGTGTGAGTTCCAGTTTAGTTTACTGTCAAGTATTACCCCTAGGTATTTAGTTTCTGTTTTGAGGTTAATAGTTCTGCTTTCAATGGAGGGTGCTTTTATTTGTAGCTTCCTTCTCCGAGTGAAAGGGACTATTTCGATTTTATTGGGATTGATGCTGAGCCCATTGCTTCTGCACCAAGTACTGGTGAGTAGTAGGGCTTTCTGCATTAGCTGAGTTATGATTGAATCATATTTACCTCGGATTGTGATTACCAGGTCATCAGCATACCCTTGTATCTTAAATCCGTTTTTAGTTAGGATGTTCATCAAGTCATCAACTACCAGGCACCATAATAGAGGTGATAGCACTCCCCCTTGGGGACATCCTCTTAGCGCCTTTATAGTCAGCGACTCGCCTCCCAGACTGGCTGTGATCTGCCGACTTTTCAACATGGCTATACACCACTTGATTGTCGACGGATGTATGTCTTTTACGTTTAGAGCCTTCTTAGAGCCTATTTAGAGACTGGGAGGGGAGACCGGGGGTGCCGACTCGGTCGAAGCTCTCGGCAACATGGGGGATAAAGGTAAAGGTAGGGGACAGGAGGGAAAGTTCTATGCGGGATATATGGGGGGAGGAGGGGATGGTGACACGTTTGATGAGTTAGCAAATGTATTCCAGAGAAGGAATAGTAAAGTGATGAGAAGTCCGCCCACAAGTGTACAGACAAAAAGTACAGCTAAAGAGGTCGCCGCTTCGGCTAGTGAGTCGATGGACGTTGAAGAGTCCAGAAGCCGGGCGCCGTCCGTGTCTTCTGTGACTTCGAATAAAATACTCCTTAAAGATAATGAGGAAGATGAAGACATAAATACACAGAAAGAAAGAGAAGAAGATAAGATAGAACATATCAAGAAAGAAATATCTGCTTTGCAGGCTTATCTTTTGTCAAGTGCGTCCAAAATATCTAAAGAAGCCTCTGTAGTTATTCTTGAAAAATGGAACTCCCTTGAGGACGACTTGAGGGAAGTTATAGTAGAAAATATAAAGCTGAGGGAACAGAATAAATATCTAAAGAAACTTAATGAAATAAAGAGTAACTTACCTGATCAGATTCCTGGTCCATCGGCGCAGACCCGATCCTTCGCGAAGGTGGTGGCTGGAGCTGGTGCGATGGCGAAAACAGGCGGTGTGGCAAAACTTAATGATGTCCGAATACCTGAAAAAAAGAAAAAAGTCTTGATCAAAAATAATACCCAAGAGGAAGGTGTAAGTAGTGAAATTGTAAAGGAAAAGGTATGCAAAATAATACAGAAGGAATTGAACAACATTAAGATCGATAAGATAAGAACTATACGCAATTCGGGTGTAGTTGTGGAGTTGGCGGATGAACAAGAGGTTCAAAAAGTAAGGAATTGTGCAAAATTGCAAGAAGTTGGCTTAAAAGTTGAAACACCAAAAAGCTTGAGACCGGCAGTACAAATGTTTGACGTCCCTAATGAAGTAAACGAAGAGAATTGAATAGATAATATATATAACCGAAATATCGAAGGCAAAGAAGGCATAACGTACGAATCTTTCAAAAATGGTTGTAAAATAATAACAAGAGTTGCGAAACGAGAAAGCGAATCAAATATAATTTTCGAAGTACCAACTAACGTCTGGAAAGTATTAACGAATTTAGGGCGTGTGTACATAGGACCACGATCCTGTAGAGTAATGGATTATGTTCTTGTAACCAGGTGCTTTAAGTGCCTGGAGTATGGTCATATATCAAAAGTACGCAAGGGTGAAGATACGTGCCGACATTGTTCGAAAACGGGACATACTAATAATAACTGCCCGGATAAACAAAAGGAAGCCACTTGCAAAATCTGCCAGAACCGAAACAAACAATATAACCACTCCCCAACTTCCACTACGTGCCCAGAATTTTTGCGGCAAGTATCGTTAAGACGTGAAAAGACAAACTATGTTTAAGTTAAGAATTATGCAACTAAACTGCCAGAACGCCAGGGCTGTAATGGGGGAGGTAGAGTACCTTGCTTCGCAGGAGAACACGGATATTTTCTTGTTGCAGGAACCATACTTACCGAGCGGTAGACCGATGCGGCATAATAGGCTGGGCCGAGTTATAAGAAATGATTCTGGTGAAATAGGGGCCGCAATTCTAGACCTAAACAACAGCCTAATTGTAACGGTTCAGTCTGGTCTGACGGATGGAAATTGTGTGGTTATAACCGTGGAAAATGGCTCAAAAATTACAGTATTTGTTTCAATGTATTGCAAATACAACGAGGACATAGACAGGTATTTACATAAATTAGAGACAATAATTAATGTGTTTCAGGGTATTCCCGTTGTAATAGGGGCGGATGTAAACGCCAGATCACCAATGTGGCACGACCGCATATTAGATTATAGGGGGGAAATACTGCAGGATTATGTTTTGTCCAGGGACTTATATATAATAAATGAACCTGGGAACTTACCTACTTTCGAGACTGTAAATGGGCATTCTGCTATCGATATTACGATGGTGTCAGGTCCGGCGCTGTCTATGATTTTCGAATGGAAGGTCCTGTCCACGACTGCCTCTGATCACCGTAGCCTTCTCTTTGACGTCCAATCGGGTCTTGAATCTGAAACAGAAAATATGATTAATATGACTAATGAAGGTGGTAATATTAGAAAGGTTAAATGGGATAGGGTGGAGGAGGAATTGAGAAGTGTCTTTAACTACCCGTTTGTCTGGAAATTAAATAGATTGACAGATGTAAAAAATGAGAGATGGTTAATATGATAAATGAATCAATGAATCATGTAATGAGTGTTACACTTCCAAGCAAAGGTCGTCAAAGTATTAGTAAAAATAGATGGTGGAACAGAGAATTAGAGAGTGATAAAAGAATCGTGAAAAGAGTACGAAAGGAATTACGAAATAAAATATCTGAGGGTGCGGACGAGGAGGTGATAGTGAGAATGACGCGGGAGTACAGGACTCGACTAAACGAATATAAGGGAAAGATTATAATAGAGAAAAGGCAGTGCTGACAAAGATCAGTTGAAAATAGCCGTAATGACCCCTGGGGGTACTTTATAGATTAACTATGAAGAAAATAACAATAGGAAATCTTTACAACTCAGTCAGAGTTAATGATACTGAAACAAGGGGCTGGGAGGAAATGGCTCGGGGCGTTGTTGATGCTTTGATTGTAGGGAACGCGAATGACGATATGGTCTTGGGAGAGGTGATGAAATACAATACATATTATGAACAGGATTGGATTACTATGGGTGAAATTAATGCTGCCATGAAAGTTATGAAAATGGGAAATTCGATAATGTGTGGTGGCCTTCTGTGCTTCAAAGGCTCAGAAAAGCGAAAATTACAGAAGTGATCTATAACATAATCACAGACTATTTTAGGGAAAGAACATTAACAATAAGTACGGGAGAAAACAGAATTACAACGCCAATAACAAGGGGATGTCCGCAAGGCTCGGTATTGGGCCCACGATTTTGGTCCATCTTGCTAGATGATCTGCTAAAGAATGAATATGAAGGCGTAAATATAGTGGCTTATGCAGATGATGTCTTCTTGCAGTTCTCGGAACGAACTGGAAGTAAGAGGAAATCATTCTATGAGTGAAATTAACAGTTGGTTGATAGAAAACAAACTTAAAATAGCGACCCACAAAACACACATGATATTAATAAAGGGGAAACTAAAACGAAATCCGATAATAAAAGTTAATGAAGTTGCAATAAAGTATAATAAAGTGATAAAGTATTTAGGAGTAATATTAGATGAGGGTTGGATATTCCTGCCACATTTAGAAAACATGAAGACTAAAATTATTGTCGCAGTAAATAAATTGAGGGGAATCATGAGAAGTGAATGGGGCCTAAGTCGGTCATCACTGACAACGGTGTACAGGGGTCTATTTTTAGAAATTATAGGTTATGGCGTGCCCGTCTGGGGAGATAGACTGAGTAATGCTCATTTCAATCGAAAACTTATCTCAATACAAAGAATAATCCTGATGGCGATGCTTCCGGTATGTAGAACAATTGCTAATGACTTATTACAGGTCCTGGCTGGTTGTGTACCGTTGGACATCTAAAGGTAAATGAACAAGAGCATCTTGATGATTTGAAACCCACTTCCTTGCAGTGAAACCAGTTGATTTTAGAATTTTATTGAGCTCGAAGATTATTTCGTGAACTTTGTCTATGCTATTTGCTCCAGAGAAGATATCATCCACATATGTATTCAATTTAAGGATTTCTGAGCCTTGAGGAAGGTTTTCTGAGTTATCATCAGGGAGCTGACGTAAACATCTAAGAACTAAATATGGAGCGCTAGGGAGACCATAAGTAACAGTTGAAAGTTGACATACTTGAATTGGCTGTGATGAATTTTCTCTCCAAATAATTTGTTGGAATGGTAAATCATCTTGATGTACACGAATTTGTCTATACATTTTCTCTAAGTCAGATGCAAAAACAATTGGATAACGTCTCCAACGCAGCAAAACATCAACGAGTTCAGTTTGTAATTTTGGGCCACTAAATAAACAATCGTTTAAAGACACACCTGTTGTTGTTTTCTGTGACCCGTTGAATACAACTCTCAATTTTGTAATGGAGCTACTTTCACGGATTACTCCGTGATGTGGGAGAAAATAATGTGGAATTTCAAGTGATGGAAATGGAATTAAATGCATGTGATTTAGCAATAAATATTCATTCATGAACTTACTATATTCTTTTTTTAAGTTCTCATGTCTTGCAAAACGTAATTCCATTCTCTTAAACATTTGTAGCGCTGATGTGTATGAATTTCCCAATTCTTGGGGCGATTTGCTAAATGGAAGGCGAACGATAAAGCGTCCGTTCGAATTACGAGAGTAAGTTTTTGCAAAATGTTCCTCACATTTAACCTCTTCTGGTGAAAGGCACGGTGGTAAGTTACATAAATTTTCTTCTTGTTTCCAGAACCTTTGCATCAGATCAAGAAATTCGTAATCTATAGAACATTGAAAACCGTAAGCCTTTAATTCTTCAGGAGACGATGAGAGACTTCCAGATAATATCCATCCAAGTGAAGTTTGTTGCGCCATCAAAGAGCCATCATGATTTTTACGAATTCCCGTTTGAATAATTTTAGAATAAAAGCCGACTCCTAGAATTAAGTCTATTTTCTTAGATGAGGTAAAATCTGGATCAGCCAATAATATGTCGCTAAGATCAAAATCTAACGGGACGGTATTTCTTTGAGGCAGGTATGCCGTTAATTTAGATAATATTAATGCATCTTCCGTAAAGGTATAGGATTCGTTTATTCTAGAAAATAATTGTATTTGTACTGATCCATGTGAAATACTGGTCTGTTGGGATCCAATTCCAGAAATGGGTATGGTTTTAGAATGTCGAGGTAACTTTAATTGTTGAACCAATCCTTCCGAAATAAAACTCACTTCAGATCCCTGATCGATAAGAGCTCGTACTATACGACGTTCGCCCAGATGAGAAGTTACTCCAACCAGAGCAGTGGCTAGTAACACAGGAGTGTGGACGTGATGTGAATGAATGAGATGGCTGGAAGTTGTTGAAATTGGCGTGAAAGTTGGAGCGTTTACTTGAAGTTGAGTGGAAAGATTGTTTGAATCCTTTTGAGAGTGAGAGTTTGTATGATCTGTTGATGGTTTATAATCATGGAGTGAAGTATGATGCTGTTTTTGACAAATTCGACATCTTTTACTTATTCTACAATTTTTACGAAGATGTGGTCCAAGACAATTGAAGCATAAATTCTTCGAAACGACGAAATCTGATCGCTGATTAGGCGTTTTTGTTAAATATTGTTGACAACCAGAAAGATAATGTGATGCTTGACAGAGGACACAAGTGCTTTTGAAAGGAGATGCATTGAGAGACTTTACATTTGAATTTTTATTGTACGTTGCTGAATTTTGATTAATTTTGCGATTAGCTAATTGTTCAATAGTTTCCAGAGCATGAAGTCGTCCTAATAGAAACAATTCAAGTTCGTCATAGGATGGTGGATTTTGATTATTTACTAAAGATTTTTCCCAATCTTTTATCGTGTCAACATCGAGCTTTCGTACAATCATGTATACAAGAATATGATCCCAATGTTTTATAGGGCAACCTAAAGCTTCTAAAGCACCAAGAGATTCTTTAACTTCTCCCAGCAATCGTTTTAATTCAAGAGAAGAATCATTTTTTAATGAGCGAGAATTGAATAACGTGTTTAATTGAGAGTCAATCAATAATCTTTTATTTTCATAACGTTCCAATAGCATTTGCCAAGCGCGAGAGAAGTTATCATTTGTAATTACCACATTCTTTAATAATTGAGATGGTTCATCTGACAAACTCATTTTCAGGTAATGGAGTTTTTCCACGTCCGAAATGTTATCGTTATCGTGAATCATGGACATAAATAGATCTTTAAACTGCGACCAATTGCAATATTTTCCGTTGAATTTCGGTAAATTTATTTGAGGAAGATGGTGCGCTTGAGATTGAATGTTTTTTGAAGTTGAAATGTTAACATTTTGAAGAGAGAGATCATTCAAAAAATCTAGCATGGCTCCTTTCGATTCTATGTATTCTTCTTCGCACGTAAAGAATATGTCATCCGAAAAATAACTTTTATCCTTACAATCGGATTTGTATTTCGACAATAATGTATGCGAGTTATTGAATTCATTCCAATTAACCTCAAGGCGGTCCAATCGACTTTGTATATTTCCGCGGGTTCTTTTAACTATTGCTAGTTTTTTAAAATTGTCCAACGAACGCGAAATTTGGTGATACAACTCGTTTTGTCGTTCGAACACGGGGTTCAAGTCTTTAACCGCTTGCTCGCTCGGAGGAGCCATATTGAAACGAACTGGTTTTATTGACAAAAATGAAAATTAATGTTAATTAACTCGATTCGGCTTAACCGATCCGGCTCGAAGGACCAAATGTTTTGCAAGAGTTTAGAATTTACTCAGTTAATTAACAATGAAAATGAATTGTTTCGAATAAAATAAAATGTCATTGAATTAGAAAGAAATAGTCTTACTTTTCATTATTTGAAGCACTATCACTGAATTGACACTGAATTATCACTGAATTGACTTTATATGAGGCGATCTGAAGAAGTTACTTGAGAAAAACGAAAAATGAGAAGACGCACTTTTATATTTTTGACAGATGTGTTTTTTTTTTTATTTTAATTGAACGAGAGGTAACTAGATACAAATGTTTTTTAAGACGAATAAAATTATTTAAATTAAAGAGTTAATTAACATTTTTAACAACAACCCTTACTTGCGAGGAATTTATGACATTGTTAGTACAAATCGAAGCTGTGCTCAATTCACTGCCGCTGTGTTCACTCTCCGATGATCCAAACAATTTCGACGTACTAACTCCCGCTCATTTTCTCGTTGGAGGTGCTTTATCAGTCATCCCTGAACCATCACTATTAGAACTTACGACGTCTCGCTTGTCACGTTGGCAGCACCTCAGAAAAATGACCGAACAATTTTGGAAGAGTTGGAGTCAATATTATTTAAAGACAATTCAAAATCCAACTAAGTGGTATGAAGCCAAAAATCTACCTCGGATAGGTCAATTAGAGCTTGTCCGCGACGAGAGGTATCCACCAGCAAAATGGCCTCTTGCTCGTGTCAAAAAACTACACACAGGGCCTGACGGTTTAGCAAGAGTAGCCACTATTAAAACAGCGTATTCAATACTGACCCGTCCCATTGTTAAGTTATGTATCCTACCGGACGCTCAAGAACCATCAGCTTATTCTTGAGTTATGTATATTTTTCAAGAAGTTGGAATTTTATTTTATTTTTTTTTTAAATTTTGTTTGCCTAATTTAGGCAAGGCGGGCGGTAATGTTAATTTTAAGTCTATCTTTATTAAAAGAACCGATTTGTTTATTCTGTCTTTATATTTTGTAATTCATATTCAGTTTTCTTGTATTGTGTTCCCTCTCTAGACGAGTTTCTTTTTTGTGTACAAGTTCAAGAATTTTCGGGTTTTGTTAAAAAGAAAGAGATGAACATTTTTGTATTGTAAAACCAAGTCGTGTTAAAAACTTCATTCGTAATCTTCTTCTTTAGCATTATTTCTTAAATGTTATTAATTAACTCCAAATAGTAAAATAAAGTTCAGTTTAATTCAAGTAAGTGTTTATCATTCAGTTCGAAAAGTTCTTCATTCTCAAGTAAGTTTATTTCGGTATAAAACATCTTCTGTTGAGAATAAGGGAAAAGGGAAATGGGCGAAGGTACAGATAGATGAGGAGCTGTGATATCAATCTTAAGGACATGGTAATGGGGGAAATAAACAAGGGTAAGGCAGGAAAGGTGTGATTGTCATGGACCTCAATCAGTGCAACTCCAGTTATACAATCACTAACTGTAGTTCTCTTCTGGTGAGGAATGGGGATAGGGGAAGGGGCGGGAGCAGGGTATGTAGGTGTCTATGAATTTAGGGGGGATCATTAGGGAATGGTTTCTTTAACATCCTATATAGAGGTGATCTGGTTAGGTCTATTTGGTCATTAAGGCATTCGACATTCTTATTCAGGAATTAAAATTTCTCGATTTCGTAGGCTTCAGTGAGGGTCATTTTAATTCCCTTATCCATTCTGTGTAGTAATTTTACACCAGTATTTATATCAAAACTGTGTGAGTTATTGAGAAGATGTCTTCCGAAATTAGATCTGATGCTACCCTTGTGTTCGTTAATTCTCTGTTTTATTGATCTTCCCGTTTCGCCAATGTATATTGCAGCGCAAGTGCCACAATTCAATTTGTAAACACCACTATTTTCGAGCAGGTTGGTGTTGTCTTTCTTGTGGTTTAATAAATCGATTATGGAGGTGTTGCATTTAAATGAAATATTTATATTGTACTTTTTGAAGATTTTTAGGATGCGGGCTGCAATGTGACCCGGGTATGAAATAGATCGGTATGTTGATTCTGAGGTTGGTGTATTGTTGATGAGTGTCGTCAATTGTCTATTATTGTTTTTTGTTTGAATTCTTCTAATTAAATTGGAGACATAATTTGGGGGGAAGTCATTGTTGTGACTTATTCAACAATAGAATTTTTGGCCAAGAACCTGGATCGTTTTTTTTTAAAGGCGTCCACTAGGCGTGACCGGATACACCACAAAAGCACCAAGGTGCTGCGCGTAGCTCAAAATATTTCAACTTTTAAGTTAACGAATGACTGGTTGAACGGTAAGATTAAGTCAATTAACGCATTATAAACAGATGTATTCACAGTTATAGTATATGTTCAGATATGAAAAAAAAGAAGCAAATAAAGACATCAAGTAACGGTTAAGTACAGATTAGTTAATTGTTCGTCTTTAATTGATTTTATCCATAATTTTATGAGATAGTTCAAGTTTGTACGTGTTACACTCCTATCAGTTGCCGAGAGAAATCTAGTGAAGCTATTGTAAATACTATGTGCATGACAAATAAAAAAAATTTCTGTGTGCGCTTTAAAATGCTTAATAGGTCTTGCCAGACTATCACAAACATTTCTAGTAGAGTAAGTGTGCCCCGGAAATTCCAGCAGTGGTGGATTGTTGATAATAAATTTAGCAATCTCGATTGTATAAGGTTGCCTAATATTAAAAACCTCAGTAATTTCAAACAGCGCGTCCGATGGGAAGTCGCGCGGTTTATATGTCATAATTTTTAAAATAGTTCTCTGGGCAACCTCAACGTTAGTAATAAGATAAGTCGAGGCATCTCCCCAAGCTGCATCAAAACTTAAAGTAGACATTGATAGCATGGATACATTAGAACAGGAAGCTACATTTCTTTCATCTTCAATTGTGTTTGTTCCAACTTCTGTTTCTTGCTTATCTACTTTTCCTATTTGTTCGGATTGCTCTGATGTTAGTGGGCATCAGTTTGAGTTGAAACTTTTTATTTTTTTGTGAATGTATTAATTCTGCCAAAAATTTATTTAACGAACCAGTCAACTCTTGATCAATTTGTAATTGTCTGGCTTTTCATTTTCTATACTGAGCCCCTGACAAAGTTGTTGGCTTTTTCTTTTCCGACATCTACAAAGCCACAACATGTTATTTAATGGTCTTTAAAACTCGGAACGAGTGTATTTATTTTATATTCAATATTCAAGAATAATTAATAGAAATACTTAATTACATAACTATAAATACTTACAATTTCAGAATCACTATTAAGATAATGGAGACAAGAGTACTTTTGAGGATTTCGCAAGCTTAAGGTTTTTTATCGTATTATTTGTTTGTTTAGTTAAGTGTTGGAATGCGTTGGGGTGTATATTTAAGTGTTTAGTTAAGTTTTTTTTTAAGATTTCATTTTCTTTAAGTATAATATCTTAAAAAATCCTTTAATACATTGAACGCCACGAGAAGAAAAACATTTAATATAACTAGGCCGTGAGCAGCACCATTGCTTCTCATACTTTAATAAAATATCGGCGTGCGTGGCATAACAGTGCTTCTCAGTAGTAGTATAGCACACTGTTGGAAATAATTCACGAGCACACCCTGTATAATCTGAACGCGTGTGTCTAGCGCAATAAAATTTGGTATGGAAGTAGTACTAAAGTAGTGTAACTTACTCTTACATGGAGAGCGGCACAACTCTGCTGGGAGGAGAAACATCAATAGCGAGAGTATCCCCCGTGAGCTTCGCGTACCATCGCTACACGACGTGGCATGGAGTCTATAAGTCGCTGTATTGTAGCAAGAGGGATGGCCAACCATGCCACCTCAACTCGCCTCCATAGCTCCTCAACGTTAGCCGAGGAAGCCGAATAACGTAGAAGTCTCCGACCAGTCATGTCCCAAACATGGTTGATCGGATTCAGATGCGGAAACCGAGCTAGCCATGGAAGCATTCGTATACGGTGCTCTTCCACAAAGGTCTGTACAACACGCCCGATGTGCTGTCGTACGTTGTCGTGCATGTATAGCAGACCTGGGAGCCGCCGAACGTAGGGAAGCACAACAGACCGTAGCACCTCATCTACGTATCGTTGACCCGTCATGGTCTGCTATACACGCAGCAGACGTGTACGTCCACCATGTGTAATAGCACCCCATACCATAATGCTCGGTTGTCGGTGGATAGGGCATTCTTGCACGCACTGCTCGAGTAGACGATCACCACGTCTCCGACGAACTAAAATTCGCGCATCACCGGTGCTCAATTCGAATCTTGATTCGTCGGAAAACAAAATGTCCCTCTACTCGGCAACCCACTAATGCCTAGCGTTGACCCATTCGTGACGTATGCTGCGGTGCTCGGATGTTACTGGAATCCGCTGTTTCGCACGACGCACGCACAGTCCACTATCTACCAAACGCCGCCGTACAGTTCGCGTAGTGGGTGCGCCTTCCCCTGCCGGTGGCCAAACAGCTCCAAGTTGCCTTGAGGAGGACTCACACGACGCTAAAGCGCTGAGCACAAGAGCGCGATCCTCGTGTGCTGGGGTCACGCAGGGCCCTCCCGGCCGCAGCTGAAGGTACCTATGTCCTACCTCAGACCATTCTCGCCATGCCTGTTGCACTGCCGATAACGACCGGTCGAGACGACGCGCAATTTCACGGAACGATACACCCTCAATGTGCATACCCTCAAACATTCCTCGCTAAAACTCGCTTAAGTAACGCGATCGCCCATCCATTGTGCACAGAGTACGATAACAATGTGGTTCCTAACACCACACTAAAAACGACCGGTATTTTCCATCCACTTCGGTCTCTATAGCGACGGAATGTTCCACTTGGAAGAGCGGCTCAGTCAACAATGCCGCGACGGAACAACTCGAAACTCGATGAATAAACTCGTCTACAGTAAACCTTTGTGCTCCACAAATATCATGGATTTATCTTTACGCGTTCAGATTATATAGGGTGTGCTCGTGAATTATGTCCAACAGTGTATTATCAGGCATGTTTTTCGGTGACCTGGAGAACTATGTTATGTATTTAGCCCATGTTGTTCTCGAACCTATGTCGAGTAAACTAACCATTTCTGAATGAAAATTATTTTTCAGATGAATGAAAATTATTTTTCAGATTATTGAAAAATAATTACAAAAATAACAAAAACTATTTTATTCTCTAAATGAAAAAGAAAACATATTCTGATAATAATAAAAAAGAAAAAAAAACGCTTCTAAAACTTTTTGAAAATAATTAATAATAAAAATTTTAAAAAAATAATTCGCTTATATATTGCAGCTATGAACATCACAAAAACAGATAATGCGGTAAAATTTGTCACACTGAATGCACTTGAAGCGAGAAAAAGGAGTCCTGTTTTGTGCAAATTTTCGTCCATTTTCACGGGATAATTTTGCGTAACATGTCGCGCATCTTCGTCGGGCCGTAGACGGAACTTCTTCTAAGTGATGACCATCGAGAGTGCATCTGGGCGTATTATTTTTTTCAAACTTGTGAAGATCTAAAAAATTGCCGACTAGCTCCTCTTTGAAAGAAGTGATAGACATTTTTTGGTTGGTGATTTGCTGATGCATTATGTAGGAGTTCACAAGTGCTGACCCCAAGAGAAGCTCAATTGCTATCTTACGATACCATTTTACCGACTTTCGCAATGCAGTTGAGTAGGACTTCATTTGATCCGAAATGTCTATGTAACCTTTTTCTTTGCAACCTTTGAGTTTCGCTTTTGTCACTTCTGTTGGATTATGTCTCCGGTTCTGCCTCAAAGTTCTTACCAAATGTGTGCGTTTTTTAGTAAACTGTGCGCTAGTGTAACACTGGTGTAAAAGTTATCTGTATATATTGTACGGCCAGAATCTAATAAGTCCTTTGATAAATGAAAAACAACAGTGTCCGGAACAGATTGATATCGAGTTTTGTCATGACCACTATATATTTGCAAGTCATACGTAAATCCTCCATCCAAGCAAAGTTTGTACACTTTGACGCCAAACTTATGCTTTTTGTTTTTTATGTACTGCCTAAACGATAGGCGACCCCTAAACGGGATAATACTTTCATCAATGCACAGACACTCACCCGGCACTATTACTTTTTTGAAATTTGATATAACTTTCTCCAGAAGTGGTGCTAGTTTATAAAGTCTTACCCTTTTGTCGCTGGTTTCATTATCACTAAAATGCAAATTACCCAGTAATAGTTCAAATCTATTGCGCGACATAAAACTTGATATTTTATTTGCGTACAACGGATTTTTGGGCCAATAATCACTTAACTGTGGTAATTTCTTTAGACCCATCGATATGAGTAAAGAAAAAAAGGTTTTCATGTCCTCTTTATTTGTCAAGGTATGCATTTGGTCCATGCATACCTTTACTAATGTTTTGTTGAGCATATCGGTTGGTTTCTTCAACGATTAATTCAAAAATGTTATCGTCCATGAATAGTTGAAAAACATCGTTAGGATTTTTATTAAACATTTCAAAATACTCATTTATAAACCCTGCGTCTGGAATATTACAAGGAATATTGTGTAAATGTTTACCATCAACTTCTTTCCATGATAGTTCTTCGCTTTTTTCAGTATTCGACTCTTCTTCTGAAGAACTCTCATCCTGTGTGATTTGATACTGCGATATAACGGTGTCAGTTGTGTCGTCTATTGTGGAACTTCCGCCGCCAGTTTTTGACGTTGAGGGCATATCTTTATTTAGCACTGATTTGCGTTTTTTTCTTTGTAAAACCTCTTGTGACGAACTACTGGAACTTTCGTCGTGATCCGAGTCTTCATAATCTTTGTCGTTAACACTACAATCACTGTCTTCTCCCGATAGAAATTCTTCCATCAAATTTTGAAGACGCCCCTTTCATGTTCGTACGACATTATGAATAAAACTATATCTCGTTCAACAGTTGACTAAATACTGAACACTAAACCATCAAGTACGTGTTTGATAATAAAAAGCGATCAAACAAGTATCGACAAGATTTTGCTTTGTTACACACACATTGAAAAAGTGAGAAGCAAGTGTGCATCACATGGCCGTCTGAGGTAGAAATGCTTATTTGGGCCATGTGGTGCATCCGAGCTTCTCAAAATTAGAAATATCAAAAAATTTGCAAAAATCTAAAAATGAGGATGAAATTTAACAACAAATATTTTAAATATTGAACCAGCCATATTTAGCTTANCGTCTGGAATATTACAAGGAATATTGTGTAAATGTTTACCATCAACTTCTTTCCATGATAGTTCTTCGCTTTTTTCAGTATTCGACTCTTCTTCTGAAGAACTCTCATCCTGTGTGATTTGATACTGCGATATAACGGTGTCAGTTGTGTCGTCTATTGTGGAACTTCCGCCGCCAGTTTTTGACGTTGAGGGCATATCTTTATTTAGCACTGATTTGCGTTTTTTTCTTTGTAAAACCTCTTGTGACGAACTACTGGAACTTTCGTCGTGATCCGAGTCTTCATAATCTTTGTCGTTAACACTACAATCACTGTCTTCTCCCGATAGAAATTCTTCCATCAAATTTTGAAGACGCCCCTTTCATGTTCGTACGACATTATGAATAAAACTATATCTCGTTCAACAGTTGACTAAATACTGAACACTAAACCATCAAGTACGTGTTTGATAATAAAAAGCGATCAAACAAGTATCGACAAGATTTTGCTTTGTTACACACACATTGAAAAAGTGAGAAGCAAGTGTGCATCACATGGCCGTCTGAGGTAGAAATGCTTATTTGGGCCATGTGGTGCATCCGAGCTTCTCAAAATTAGAAATATCAAAAAATTTGCAAAAATCTAAAAATGAGGATGAAATTTAACAACAAATATTTTAAATATTGAACCAGCCATATTTAGCTTATTGGTATTGTGGCCCACAGAACAACTTTTTTTTTCGTTATGGTGGCGTTTAACGTGTTAATTGTTTGTATACAGGGTGTATCTGAATAACTGCAACAAACTTCAAGGGGTGATTCTTTAGTGAATTTTAAGGGTACTTTGATATATGAACCATGGGCGACTTCGGCTCCCCTAAGGAGCTACACCCTTTCAAAAATGGCGGAAAATTTTGGTTCAATTTTTTTTTCTCAAAAACCATAAACGCTAGAAAAATGAAATTTGGGGAATATGTTTAACTCATAATAGGGCACGTTTTTACCCTATTTGTACTTTCAACCTACCCTTTGCATTTTTGCGAAAATTTTTTTTATGCAGATAATAAATGCATTAGAAAAATTTTACATAGATAGATGAAAGTATTCTAAAACTTTTTTATCTCTGAAATTTTTCCAAAAACGACTAATTTTTGAGAAAAAAAATAGTAAAGCAAACACTGCCCGTTAAACAACGGGGTTGTCGATCGAAACTTGGAATGAATTTTGAATGAAAAAATCTTAGTAGGCTTTGCAATCTTTGTCAGAAATATTTTTGACGTTTAAATGTCAATTTTTCTTACTATTATTATTGTTTTTCAAATTAATTTTTAAATAAAGTTCTATCGCATTTACGCTCGTTCACTCGACGTTTCAAAATTTTAAATAAAACAATAATAATAGTAAGAAAACCACTGACATTTAAACGTCAAAAATATTTCTGACAAAGATTGCAAAGCCTACTAAGATTTTTTCATTAAAAATTCATTCCAACTTTCGATTAACAACCCTACAGCTTAACAGTTAGTGTTTGCTTAATTATTTTTTTTCTCAGAAATTATTAAATTTTCGAAGAACATCAGAGAGACAAAAAAGTTTTAGAATAGTTTTATCTATCTAACTGAAATTTTTCCAATGTATTTATCATCTTCATAAAAAAAATCTAGGCATAAATTGAACGGGGGTGGTTACGTTTAGTAGTTTAGAAGGGTAGGTTGAAAGTACAAATAGGGTCAAAACGTGCCCTATTATGAGTTAAACATATTCCCCAAATTTCATTTTCCTAGCGTTTATGGTCTTTGAGAAAAAGAAATTAAACCAAAATTTTCCGCTATTTTTGGAGGGGTGTAGCTCCTTAGGGGAGCCGAAGTCGCCCATAGTTCATATATCAAAGTACCCTTAAAATTCACTAAAGAATCACCCCTTGAAGTTTGTTGCAGTCATTCAGATACACCTGTATATAGTTAATTCAGCTTGCAATAAACCAAAATACCGCCTCTTCAATGAGCCTCCCCTGTGCGGTGTACACCCATAGTAATATTTCAGAATTAACATAATAAGAAAATATTGTAATAGTTTTAGTTCTTCAAGATCCTTTATAGAATAAACTTCTTCTTTAAAAGAAATTGAAGCGTTTTGTTGTGGTATCACCCGTTTACGTAGTACTGCTCACGTAGTATTTATCTTTATAATAATAGGAATATAATAAGTTTACAATATAATTATGTAGGTATCAAAAGTAATGATTCTGTAACTAAAAACCAAACAACCACCAGAGACATGTGTGAACAATAAATATATCAGGGCACGGAACCAGATGGGAACAACCCCTAATTCTCCTTGTCTCTGCGTATCACTGCTGTAAAAACAGAGTTCACTAGGAACAGGGGGGTTAAGCCGAAAAGGCACTTCACTAAGAGCAGTAGAAAAGTCAAGTCAGTCATATTAAGTTAGTCGTCTCTATTAGATCGAGTTGATCAGTTAGTTTTAGAACAAATTGTTACCGGTCGTCATCGTCGTCTCTTAAATAAAATTTAACTAAAATTAAGAACAGAAGAAAGTTGTTTAATTTAATAAATTGCCCTTCACAACGAAGAAATAAATATATTCGTAAATATCGACGTTACATCGTAAGAATATACAACATCGGTGGCGGCGGTACACAACAGTTTTCTTTCCATCGAAAACCAACCAAAAAGGGATACGAGTGGTAAACCTACAAGCCAACCATATAACTCGTGGATGTCCAAAAGCTTGACTTGTTAATGAATAAATTGACTTAATGAAACAAATATCAAGTTAATTTCACTACTTTGGAGGATATTCAAACGAATTGAATAATACCTATTAGTTTTAACTTTACGAGTACTTTGTTACTTCCTCTCCTCGTAAATAATAAAATTGGGACAATAAATTTTAAATTTAATAGCGCCATCTTTTATAAGATACCTGTAGCTAAATTATTATAATAAAAATAATATCAACAAATCGATAAGTATAAAACATTCTTTTCTAATATTTTCAGATTAATATAATAATGAATATAATATTATAATAATAATTTAATTTAGCTATAATATTATAATGTAGGGACTTTATTTTAAATTATTACAGCGTGCCATCTGTTATTGAAAAGCTAAAACTGAACTAGAATGAATGTAGTAACCAATGCGCTGCTCGTTATTTTCATTATCCGTTGAAGTTGACGTGTTGACCAAGAACTGCCAAGAACATGTCGCTTTGCTTTTCTTTACAGAAGTCGTTTTGTGGAAGCTTTAGGTTAAATTTTATTTTAATGTTAACCAGTTTTAAAATATCAAATTAACAGAAAGGCATAATTAAAGGACCGTCAAGTTCCTTAAAAATCGATGATTCTTTTTTTAATAGACGTGAAATTGCGTGAATAATACGTTAAAAATAAAAAAAAATTTCGGAAAAGTGTCAAACTTACCAAAAAATGACTTTAAAGTTTCGCTGTGACGTCACGTTTTGTGACGTCATCAGCCATGCTAACCACATCTCTCGGCATCAACAACGGTATAACCAATCGTTTACTTCTTTTTACAGCCAATCATATACATTAATCTGATAAAATTAAAAATCAAATCAATTTCACCAAATTTATAACAGAATTAACAGGTTTTTTACAACGCATATTTTCGGTTGAAATACGTTACACTTTAGAATCCTTTAACGGTTAAAGAATTCTCGGAAAAATGAAAAAGGGGGCATATTTAATTTGGGGGTGGGT